TTACCCATTTGAACTAAAAAAGGAAGCAATTTAATTAAGCAGCATGAATTTGTTCCCTTGACTACAGTACAGTAAGTCACTTAATTCGTCGAGACTGATGCATTTTTTAGTAAAAAAATATTATTTTCTAAAGACAGCTTCACTGTTTTCAAGGTTGTAAGCTAGTGCATTGCACAACACAATACAGTTCCTACATACAGCTCCTGAGAATTCTTAATTTGCAGATGCTTAAGATGCCTACAATTACACTGTCACGGTCAACCCTAGCCAGCTCTAATGTGAATGTGAGGTTTTCTCTGCCCTTAACATGGTTTAAATTCTTTCTTGGATCATAAATACACCTGGATGACATCACAAAGAAAATACTTTTGAGCTTGTCAGGCGTGGTACTTAACATTTCATTATCTCAGCAATCAAAACATTTAAATTCTTGTCCTGCTGCTAATAAAAGAGGCAATTGTCCCATGAAAAAGAAAAGTTGCGCTGAACCTTTGTAACTCTGGCTGTGGTTTACTCTCTCACCTTGCAAAGAAAACTGTCTGTCAGGCATTTTCTACTGGCACTTTCCCACTACAAGTACAAGCTTGTTTCTGATGGACGTTTGCAACTCAGATTAGAGCCAAATTCGACTTTAAATACATATACCATAAGATATGAAATGGGTTGCTTGATTTCTCACCTTTTGTGAGTGGTAATTGATGGAATAAAGCGTATTCTAGGAGATCCATGCCTCCTCATGCCTGTTGTGGGTAAAAATACAGATGAAGCAAGAAAGTGTGATTCTTTGTCATGGTCTGAAATAAGTTAAAGGTGAAGTAGTTGTCATTTGTTTTGCACACACATGGCATTATCATGGTACGTATGTCACCAGAACATACAGTATAACAACCTTATCTGATGTTGTGAATGCACCAGGAACTAACATAAGTGAAGACTTGTAACCACAGTATAAAGAGTATTTTATTTATGATATCAGAGTCATTTCTGATTATTGATTTATTTAGTTTTTCACCATATAGCCTTAGAATAGTTTTTCTGTTCTATGGTTGCCACTAGAAAAGGTAACTGATTCTTCAAAAGCTACAGTAAGTGATCCAAGGTTCACGTTGAGCTTTTTCTTGAAAGCAGCTTGAGCTTTAACAACATGATTGCAGTTTTTTTTCATACTCCCACAACCCTTTGTGCAAGTACCTCCTGTTTTCAATTTTAAAATCACTTCCACTTGACTTTGTGTTTCGTTGTTAATTTCGAAGACGTTCATAAGATTTAAATCAGTTCCCGTGTGCTCTGTGATGGACTGGCACCCCATCCAGGGTATATCCCTCCCTGTGCCCATGGTTTATTATAATAATAATAATTAATTGCTTACACTAGCGCTTTTCTGGATAGTTTACAGGGATAGTCTCTAGCCCTCAAATGACTGAATTGGATGAAGCAGTAAGGAAATGAATGGATGAATCTGTTCCCTTTTAGGCTTTTCTTTTCAAGATAAGAAGGATTCAATTCTTTTAGCCTGTCAATGTAGGACTTCCCTTTGAACCTAGGGATGTACTGTACCTGGATGATTTTTTCTTCTGAACAGATTCTAGAGGAGCAATATCTTTCTTGTATTTTGCTATACACAGTATTCTCAATTACTGTAGGTCCAATGAGGACACCTCTAACTGTTTCATCATTGGTTGAAAGACTGTAAGTCAGCAATGAGATAAATTATGTCAGTATCATATCCTTTGCAATCTTGCTGAATGGTGTGAAAAAATAATACGGTACATACTGTGTGTGCTCCAATATAGGTGATATGACTAAGTCCTCCTAGCACGTAATGCTTCATTTTTTAGACATTTACACTGTCTGGTCACTCTAAAATACTAGACCCAGTATTGGATGATCCATCCATCCATTTTCTAACTGCTTTATCCAATACAGGTCATGGGGGAGCTGGAGCCTATCCCAGCATGCAGTATAGGATGATAGTAAAGACAAATCTTTACACACATTCCGACTGCCACTGCATGCTTCAGTTAAAGCCTACATAGTTATCATTAAGCCCCAGCAGAGTGGGCCATAATCTTGGAGCCCTGCCCAGCAATTTTCTCATCTCATCCAGTTCTCTGCACATCTGCTCTCTGCTTTGCAAATCAATTAGCATGACATCATCTTGTTGCAATGGCTCACAGACTCATGCAGATGACCAACACAGTCATCAGTGTATAGCCTGTAGAAAAAGCCAGTATTTCAAAATAAAGCCTAAGTTTCAGGTAAGCCGAAAGCCAGTTTGGGGGGGGCGAGAAAAGCATACTGTACTGTATTTCTCTTCTCAACTAACAAGGACATTAGCATCCTGGAACCCATGGTGACTCCACTGTACTTATCATAGAAAATGTTATTCAAAGAAAATGGATTTGAGGAGAGAACCAGCTCAGTGTAGGTTTGGGGGTCCAGCACTGCCCGGTGTTTTTGAAAACTGTGAGGCTGTTTTCTTGGGCAGGGACAGTGTAGAGGGGTGTGATGTCCATGGTTAAGGAGACACACTTCAGACCTTGCAACCGAAAGCTGAAAGCATGGATAGTATTCTAAATATACAGGAAGGAAGACCCTCTTCAAGGTCACATTAAACTGTCAAGGTAGGGTTATGAATAGTTAAGCAGTTGCAGGTCTTGAGAAAATCAAAAGTAAAATGCCTGTAAAAGTTCAACAATAAGAATGTTAGTTTCAATAGGTAATTATTATTTGTCAATACAAAGAAGGATTATAGACTCAACTCCCACATGTTGGTAGTCAGTGGGTGGATCCTTTGAAAGAGTATAGTACACAGAAGTGTTACTTCACTGTGTTCAGCAATTAACTGGTTTTTCTGCCACACAACATCAGCTAGCCCCTCATGTGCAGCTTTGAACTGCCTTGACTCCTCTTTGGGTGAGTATGATAGGCCTCCCCCTAAGCAGGTGGCTCATTTTCCAAAACCATGATCGACAGCAAAAAAAAAAAAACTAATATCATGCAACTGAGACTTTATTCAATCAAATCTTCTCACCCATTCTCTCCAAACAAAGACTTGCTCTAAATCAGCCCAACACCGGTTACTACCATGATTCTCTTCATATACCAAATTGTCCAAATCGTACCAAAGTGAACCTCCTATAACACTCTGGCTCTTATCCCTCCACCAGTTCACTAAATAAACAGGCAACACTCTTCATGTGATCCTGTATACAAGCAATAGAGGCTTCAATAGCTGCTATCCTCACCTTAGCTGCCTCATTCCCACAGTGAGATGGACCCGTGTTTCCTGAGGACAGAAATTAATTTGGGTGCTTGGTTATTGGCTTGGTAAATGACTTAGTCTACCTGATGGTCCACCAGCTCTGTTTGGCATTAATTTTGTTTATGATGTCAATAACCAGGCTGTACTCGACTGTTGCCGAAGGAGTCTTATTTCAGAAGTGTGCTGTGAGATGAATCCTGCCGTATAAAAGGGTTAGATCAGTCTGGCCCTCTGGGGGGATTCCAGTGTTTTAGGAACTGTCACAAAGATGAAGCCCTACTGAGAAAGGATCTCTTGTCCTTTGATCTCTTGTTCTTTGGTTTAGTCCTTAGCATTGACAGAATTTGATGAAAGCAGGTCCCACTGCAAATATATTTAAGTTTAAGAAACACGTTGGCTAAGTACAAGTATATTTCAAGCGAAACTTTCAAGCAGTTGTTGACAGAATATTTCGAAAGACAATATTAGTGGTGTATTACACAGACAATATTAGTGGTATAAATATAACAACTATTTTTCTAAACCTTAGCCCACTGTGTGTCATACTGTAAGTTAAAACCAAACCCATACTTAGTTGTAAGAGGGCCCCTTTTGTACACTGTCAGTTTGGGTAAAGAAAGGTATATCTCATATCAGAACAGGTCATCCTGGTTACTACAGCAACAAATGAGGATCTCCTGACTTCCTACCTGTCCATTATGGGGTAAAAAGCTGGGGAAAAGTACTGTACCTCATTCAAGTTACAAAAGCACTGTCAGCAACAGGGACCTAAATCCACAACCTGAAGTTACCAACCCAACAGCTTAACCACTATGCTATAACACTATGCCAAACATGAATGTGGATGAGCAAATTTACAAAATATTTCTCTTTCTTTAAAGCTTTTAGCTGGAATCATTTGTAAGGGATCTCAGGACAAAGAAATTAAAGTGATTTTATAGTGCAAGGGTGGTTTAGCATGTTTGACAGCTCACCTCTTATATTTTATTTCTAATCAGGTGGAACAGTTTATCATTTCAGAGTGTCATTTGTTCCATAAAGCAATTGTATAATTTTGCAAATGTTTTCTCAAATTATTCCTACTGCAACCTTCCAGAACAGGAGTTTGACATTCCTAACTTAATTGTCTAAATTATTAAATAAACCAGTTAAAATAGTGAGTTTGTTAGAAGTCTTTGAACTGGATTTCGATTCTCCCTGTTATAGAGTAAAGTGGGACATTGATGGGGGAACTTTGTTACTTTAGATCTTTCTGAACATGTGCCATTTTAATGCCCTTGATCTCAACAACAGATCAAGCTGGCAGCAGGATAAAAGAGTCATGAAGTTAGCTGTATTTATTTCACATGTAGTTACTCATCCATATAATTTTCAAAGTACACATTGCTCTTTTTGCTTATTGGTTTATTTTCAGAAGATTACATTTCAAACAGGAGTTTAACCAGGACTAGTGTAGTTTTCAATTTAACTGAGGGCTGCTCGACACAAAATGAGACTTAGAAGGATTTAAAGATGACAGGCAGAAATTAGATGTTTGTGATCTTAATTTGTCTCCTAAAGTCTGCACAAATTACAATTAATAATATATATTTTAAAAATACCAAAAACTTTAATGAGCGATATTAAAAGGGAAAGAACTCCAATTAAAAAAGATGAAGTGATATGTTGCGAGTGTTTTGGAATATTGATCATTTAAACCTCACCCTGTTATTATATATTGGATAGAACTATTTATTTCTTGTAGTTATCGGGACTAACTGCTACAGATTCAGTCAGGAATTTACTTCTTTTCTAAAAGGCTCTCACCTAAACTAAATCAGTTTAAGCTGTGGGGACATTTTCAAAACACTTATGACAAGACCAGAACAGGCTGTTCATTAGAAGTGAGTAATTTCGTTTATTTCAAGCATTTTGTAGCAATCGGCAAAGAGTGGGACTTAAACACTGCTCCTTTCTGCATTGTGTCATTATGCCAATTTGTAATACACAAAGAAAGCAATTTCATTTCTTTTTCAGCTCCCTAGCTAAGCACCAGAGCTTCAATGAGGCCTCAATGAGGTCTCTTCATGCCCGACGTAAGACAGAATTGTTTTTATAGCTAATATTGACCAGTCCAAAGACGGGAAAAACAACATATTTTTGCCAACAACAGGCACACACACAAAGGTCATAACATGCCTAGTCTTGCATGCTGTTTTAAGTGCAGACTGAAAGACCAGAAAAAGGACAGAGTTTTGTAAAAAATATTTATTTCCTAAGCAGTCTGCCTTTTCATGGCACTGGCAATTTATCACAACCTTTCACAGAAATTAAGTACAGTAGACATAGACCAATGTGGCCTGTATGGATTGCATATTTAACATGAGTAAACAGTGCTAAGGGCCATATTCAATACTGATAAAAGTCTAGGGACACCCGCTCTTTTAAATAGTCATACAATATATTTAAACATCACCGTTATGTTGGGAGGTGATGGTAAATTGTCTAGTTTTATTGGAAGGCCATTCTGAAAGGCACATATTGGATATAGACCTTTTTTCAGTCTGCAAAAAGGCAAACAATGGAAACTTTCCAGCTGGAATGTGCTGATAACACTTTGAAGACTGCAATGTAAACAGTTACTGTGAACTTGAGATGTTTTCCACAGAATGTGAAATTCCATTGTGGTCCACGAGATTATCACAGAGACAGCAGACGGTAAAATGTCCAAACGTATTACCAGTAATAAATGCAGGGTGTGGAAAGACTTGCAAAGCAGAGTCCGAGGTAACTACTGTGACAAGTCCTTTGAAGGGATGTAGATAGAGGTAGATTTGTTTTCTCATCAGAAATGTCAACTGAGTCTTCATCTCCTTTGGCTTGTATTTCTTGAATCGTATAATCTCTACATTTTGCTAAAACAGCACATGTTTTGAGGGCTCTTCCAGTGAAAACATTGTAGCTCTGCATGTCAGTTGCAACAGTGTCTTTTTTGTGCAGACACTCTCAAAGATGCAGAGGTGATTTTGTAGTAAGGGGAAATTCGCTTGTCCAGCTCACAGCGACTCTGGAGGACTTCAGACTCCCAACTCATCCACGGCAAAGTTCTCTGCCAAGGGGAATTCACAATCCGGTGCTTCTGGTCCATGTAGGAGCTGCACCAGCAACACAAGCTTTTCCAGCAAAGCAAAATTAGACTCTTCCTTGTCAACTTGCTCACGTGGCTCTGTTCTATGATGCTGACATAAGGCTCTCCCACAGCTTTGACTTGTGGTTTCGTCTCTCCTCCTTCTTTTTAAGAAGATGCTTGGCTCTGAGCTTCACATTAGCAAGCAAGGCCCTTGCTTTACCAAATCTTCCCCTGGAAAGATAACAGTGAAAGGACTATATGATTTAAGTGGAAAAAACTTTCCATTCTAAAGGACATTCTAAATATGGAAAACAACCTGCTGCTTCATCCATCTCTACATATGAAGTTCTGGCATTGATTTACAAAATAACCCTGTTACTTCCATCCTCTTCAAACTGACATTTAAAGACTTTGAAGATTTTAGAGTTAATGCACATTAGAATAAATAAAGGATCAATAAAGCAGTTAAATAAAGCATCAACCACTCTGACCGAAGCAGACAAAAGAAAAAATATTAAACCTTTTTTATGTTTGGGTCAGATGAAAGTAGAGCATAAATATGTTAAAGAAACCTTTAGTCAATCCTTCAACAAACAAGAAATATTTTTTAAAAAGGCATTAACTATTTAAGATACTATCCACATTAAGACTTAAACCATGAGACTCTACATCCATCTCCAAACCATGATTTACTAAATAGCTGTTTCAAACTTGCATTGACCTCTTCCCAATTCACTTGAGACACTTAGAATCTACTTGAAACTCAATTAGTTAAAAAATGTGGGATGAAAATTAAAGAGTACTGTACATATCGAAATCTATTCGTCTCTTGAAAGAGATCAAAAAACACATTCTGTTGTCTCATTGTTCTTGTCAATGACACAAAAAAGTGATTCTCAATGCATATATTCTATATACTGTATACCTATTTCAGAATGTTATGTGCTGTCACATTTACGGTGCATCTTAGGAGACATCTTACCCTTTTGAAGTTATGATTATGCTACAGTATGCCTTTCTTGGACACGTGTCGATTCGAGAGGTAGTAATCTCTTCTATTTCTTACCTTGTAATTTTTCTCTTGTTTGCTGCCAGATTGTATAAGCACTGCCACCCTGTGCAGTCCTGGGCTTCTGCAGAGACAGCCTGTAGTTTCACGTCTGTGCTTTGCAATCTAGAGATGAAAGTTTGTGTAATGTGAGACGAGAAATCCACAAAAACCTCACAGTGTTCCCAGTGTTGGTTGTATTGATGTTCTTTGAATTGTAGTAGCAATTCAAGTAGCACCTTAGTAACTCCTCTCATACAATTAAATCTCATTCAATACGTAAAACACAATGATTGATGCTTTAAAATCCATATATTGAATATATAGAAAATCTAAGAATTACACATACTGTATAGATTGAAGTAGATTTGTAACGTTTGTTCTAATTTCTTCTAACGTTTTTGAACACGTTCAAAAAGGATTAAAATTGGAACTTTAATTTTCGAGGGGGACAGCTTCTCTTAGCTTTAATTTAAAGGCTGGAAAAGGAGAGCACGTCTACCAGAGAAACAACTTCTGTTTTCTGGCAAATCACTTTGCTTTTAGGTTGTTTAAAAGCTGTTGATGGTGAACCCAGCTGAACAGTACAGAGTCACGATTAATACGAGAAAAAACAATATTCTCCTGTCGTTCGCAAAATAACACTATCAGTGAAAACTGAAATCAGACGTGCAATCTTTATTTAAGCATGAATACCCCCCAGTTCGAATAACAGAAATGTCACTTGCCTCTGTAGATTTTCCGATCGACAGAACGTCGCGCACGTTTTGTCTTCTTTACTGGCACATGTGCACCTTGAGTCTCCATGCGTCAGTCCGTTCGGAAAAGACCTGAGAGCGCGCTTCACTCTCGGAGCGCTTCCTAGCCCGTAGGAAACAGTGCGTCTGCAAAGACGAAGGAGTTACATTAGGTTTCTGGCAGTAAGGTTCTGGAATGCAGATTCCATGTGACCATGGCATGAACTGTAGCAACTTATTTTCCCCTGATGTGCTGTGGGTTGGTTCGTAGCGCAAGAAACACAAGAAGCAAAATGTCCTATGATAGGTTGTTACAGTAGCCTATACTGTATAAAGCGCTTGCTTGTTTAGTAATCGTTTTCTTAAGTTTCACTATCCAACGTTAGGAAATCAAAAAAGCAAGTCAAAATGATGGATTAAATATTCGATCCTACTCGTTATTCTCCTTTCACAGAATGCTTAACTTCACTTCCACCTGCTTTCATATAAGATCGAAATACCTCTGCAGTTATTTATATAATATATAAGTAGAGAGAGATTATTTAGGCAGGTTCTTACTCCGGTGTGTTGATCCAAATAATGTCAAGGTGACAGAAGTAGACGCATTCCTTGTCCAGAAATGTGGAACATGAGCACCTTTTCGTTCTGATGTGCCGCCAAGGTGCGCTCGAGACTGAGGATGTTTCTTGGCTTAAAGACATGGACACTGCAAAGACAACAACAAAAAAAGGTTATATTCATACATATACGGGTTACACATAAATAAGTACTGACCGTAGACGAACAAAATACGTTGTTGTTGGGGGTACTGGGACATTTGCTTTTCCTCATAAAAATTACTTGCGATTTGGTTAATTGCGCATTTGTGTCCCAGTATGGAATTTTGTCCAGTTGTCGAATAATGGCCATTTTTGTGTCAAAACGTATTGCATCGTCGCATTGCAGTTTTAAACAAAGTGTGCCCAATACACGAATGAAAATGAGACTGTCAGTTGTCATTGTGGTCCTCCCCAAAAAGCATTTCGAACGGTATATACTCTATATCTGTTATATGCACTTTTGTTTGTTACGGTACTTTAATTTGAATACATGAAGTAAAAAAAAATGCAATTCATCTCATTTAATTTCTGATCACAAATCGCATGTTTGCAATCTTTATTTTCTATAAAGATTAAAGTCCAAGATTAATGGTGTTTAAGAAACAGCGCCTATATACTGTATAGCTATAGACCTGACAGTTGTGAAAAAAGGCATAAACACCTAAGCGTTCAACTTACCTGTCTGAAGAAGTCCAGAATATAATAAAGACATCATTGAGAAAAGTATGTGTAATTCCATTTTTAATATTTATATAGAATAACTTTCCTCCGAATAAGTATTCCTTGCAATAATTGAATGTCGAATACCAGCAAGATGGAATTAAAGATGCTTCTGCACAGCAAGATCAATCTTTCAAAAGCGCGAGTGTATTCCAGTCGGAGTCTTGAGAGAATAATTCTGCTTTTAAGAGCGCTTCTCCTTTTTATACATGTGTATATATACACCCCCCGCGCCGCTGCTTTCCTCCTCCTTCAGACGTGTGTAAACAGCTTTGTCTTGCGTCTCATTAAGAGACAATGCTATTTGTTATTAGTCACCAACAAGCAACGTGCAGGCTGAGATAAGAAAAAAAGTATTTCGAGGACTTCAGAGGGATGGAGACGCCGAGCGGCAGTTTGAGGCGAAGCTCTTGCCAAGATTTCGGTGCTGCGCTTGCACATGCTTAACAGCAGAGGGCGTGCAACTGAAACATCAGCTACCATTTGTTTCCGTAGTTTTGGTCTGCCGAAGCTTGTAAATGACCTTGATGATCATGTCCGACGAGCACAAACAGCTGTAGGGAAATCACTGTATAATATTCAAAGCTGTTTTTTTATTTAATGCCTTTAAGTTACCTGTATTTTATAAATAATACGTGGGCACTCGTCCGTATAATTGAATTCAGAGTTACGATATAGTCTTGTTAAACGGGCTTAGGCGATAAAACGAAGACGTGTTTGATGGAAGGTTCTTAACTCCTGTATAGGTAGACGGACTTGACGCGCAACAAGACAATTGTTCAAAATGTTTTGACTCGTGACAGAAGTTTACAACAGAAGTTTCGAATCTTTCTACACGATTTCTACTCATCATACAAAAAAGAAAATATGCTGTGGTCCTGACTGTTCTCATTCGACTGAGGAGTATTTGTCAGTATTCATCAGAGATTTTGTGCTCTGAAAAGACTTGACAGCATCATCGAATTCCCTGTAGGTTTTTTTAGCTAACGAAAAATAGTTTAATAATTGTATCAAAAGAAGAATCTGTTTTGCTTACCAATATATAATTCATTATGAGTTTATTTTTTCAAAACACATCATGTTATGTTTGAAGTGTCGTTATATATGTAAAAATACACTGTGTAGTGAAATACAACGTTTGTAGAAAACCTAACATGTAAACGTTACAAACTAATCCCTTCTACCCAAACGTTACTTTCCAATATTAAAAGAAAGCTATGGGGTGTAAAAGGGGTACATTTTCGCCTTTTCATTTAAATTTTGTACCGTTTCTGATTACTGTATCAATAACTAAAAATGATCCCATTCGCTCTCTGTGCCACTGAATTTTCGACGGAATAATCGGCGACAGTATTATAAATAAATCAATAATGACATTGCAGTCTTTAGCAATAAATGAAGCATAATGATAGTCCGTCGATGAAAAGCTTTACCGCTCTTGATATTTACTATTCCCCTTTAAAAACAAATCTTTTACCTAACACCTATACGTACAGTTATTCATTGCACTTTATCACCACAAGGAGGCGTCATAATCCACATTATACTGGCTAATGGAAGGCCCGACTCAGGGTGGCACTGCCGCACTGAGAATCGGAATCTCACTGAATATTTAATATCAATTAAGAAATCCATGCATTCCGAACTGTTACATTTAAAAAAAAAATGTTTTGATGATTTAATATGTGAGGTGAATGTTTTCGTAACCATATTTATTAACCATATTTTCTGCGTCTTTACAATATCATCGCAAAAGGACCAAGGATTTATTTACCATTAACTGAAAGATCTAAATTAGAACTATGCAACAAATGAATTATATCCTTCGACCACAAAAAAGGGAAACAATTATTTGCATTATACCAGAAGCAGGAAAGATCTGAACGAATGACTACGATGTGTATTGTTCAGTGCACTGCTGGACCTTGGTTAATTTAGACATGGCAAGTTTGAAGCAATTTCATTTTTATTAGAGTGAAACAGAGACTGAACGGGTGTTATTTATCACTTATGCAACATTTACAACACCAGGTGTTCTTGGACAGGATCATACAAAAGTATAGTTTCCTTTGCTGCGGAATAAAAAGGTTAAGGAAAGCAGACAGAATGAGCTAATCATTATAAAAGACTACTGTGACTACAGTGAATTCATTTGTCTAAACACTTTAACCCAACAGGCTGTCAAACAAAGGTCAATACCCATTCACTTCAGTCAGAAAGCACTGCAGTTAATTGCTGTTTTATTAGTATCCAGACTGTCTGGTTTCTATGAGTAATACATATCGCAGAATGCGTCGAAAAATATGAGTAATTCAATCAGCCATCGATTTATAAATTATATTGTCTGTGCAGCAATAGTTTCTTTCAATTCGTGAAATGTGGTAGAAACATATAATATTTAACCTTTGCCCTTTTCAATTACATTCACTGTCAAAGAAGCCCTGTAATGCCACAGAACCACAAAAAGGGGTACGTGTTTTTATTATTTTATTGATGAAGTAAAATAGTAAAAGTAATTTGTTTACATATTAAACGGACCTTTAAGATGATAGATGTGCTTGGAGGGGTGACCTCAGGTATTTGACCATGTCTTCAGCCAGCGGTAATCTATACGTCACATCCTCAGGCCCGTGAGCAAGCAGGTGAGTCCGACCGGAGCGCTGGATTACGGGACCCACAGCGCGGCTCGCTTGCCCTTTGTGAGCGACGATGAACAGCAGTGTGTCCTCAAAGCACAGAGTGTCCTCCTTCAGAGCACAAAACGACCAAAATGTTTTTGATAAGTTTCACTTATTATTATTAAGTTTCACTTTTAGCAGCATCTCTAAAATCAAGTGTACGCGAATGAACTTAAAAATCCGCAAAATTGTTTCTTTGGTGTCTGTTTTTACACTGTTATTGGACATTAAGGACCAACATAATGTTCATATACAGTATGCGTCTACTGCACAGATATCCATGGGTGTTTTTTAGGCAAAATTAAGTGTGTCTTACACCTCTGGAGGTAAAAGTTCCGTACCATCAACTTTAAATTCATAGCAATCTGGATTCGTACTGAATTTCACCCACCCTGACGTGTGCTCAAGTTTCTACAGCCAGGACTCGGTTAGAAACTGTCCATTCGATTATCATGTTCTATACATGTTCTGTACATTCGGTTTCAAGCAGAATAGCTCGTTTTGATGATTTTTCAATGCGACATAAACGTTAGAATGAAATATGCCTGGACGAAATCGTAATTTCCTCCCACCTGCTGATTGCAATTTACATATTGGGTAAATTTTCCCAAGACTACATACAGAAAAGAACTCAAAACCAAATTGTACAGAAAAGTAGGCAAAACACTAAATTTACCAAAATCCAGACTTGCACAGCATCGCACCTACAGTACAGCTTCATCATTAGGTGCAACAGCTGGACATCTTTTGTAACATAAATATATTAGTTTCTGACAAATTGTGGGCAGGTTTTCAGTATTTACTCTTTTAAATCGTCCTGAATCAAAATTTGTTTATGCTGCACTATGGATAGTAGTGAAAAAAAAAACTGCTGATAGATATATACAAGGAAAGTTTACCGTTTAAGTGATTTGACGCTCAAGAACATGGAATTGTTTGCTGAATTATTTTTTTTAACTTACAGAGTATTTGAGGCACCCTTCTCTTAGCTCCTGTAGTCCCGTAGTAATATCCTGACCACTTAGACACTGCAGCATGGGCACACACTTCCTTCCCAGCAAAGAAAGCCATTCTTCCTACAATGCGATAATATTGGGAATTAACCCCAAACCAAATATTGTCAGTATTAGATCCCATTCAGATAATACTTTTCACCTCAAGCTCTGTATGGCAATACATAATACATACAAATCTAAAAATCATTAAAATGGTCACAGACTAGCTATTTTGACTGTAGCTTAAAGATGTATGGATCCATCCAGCCATTTCTTGATAGAAGCCAGGGTATTAGCTGCAGCAGCACATCTGAATAGCTTGTTCCAGACTCCCACAACCCTTTTTTGTTAAGAAGTGCTTCCCGTTCTCAGTTTTAAATACACATTCATGTAGTTTCCACTTGTGATCTTAGGATTAAGCTTTCCTCTTGATTTTGTAGTGCACTGGGACTTCAGACATCTTATGTTTTTGTGCTTGAAATGCGCAGCAATTTGGAAAGCTTACCTTAAATCTGTCTAGGCCTTCTAGTCCCATTAAAATAACAGAGAAATAATCAAACTAATATTAAGCAACATACAACAATTCCAAAAGGAGCTGAAACAGGACAAGAGGGAATTCTGATTCACTAATACCACATCTGGCCAAAATCCAAGGAATGACAGGTCAGACGAATAGGCTCTCTGAGTGACAGGCAATGTATGACTTGAGGGACATAAGAAAGACTTCCATCACCTTCCCTTACCAGAACCAGCTCAAGATCTCAATCCAGTTGAGAACTAGTAAAATCAATTGAAGTTCAAGTCCTTACATCATCATCTGAAGGTCATTCTTCTATAAAGGTGGGATGGGCTGCAAATATTTCAAAACCTTGTAGGACATATGCATGTGCTTTTACAGCTGTCCCTGAAGCTCACAGGAGCCTAACATATCAGTAGTTAAGCCTTCCAGATATTTTAACTTTCCTGTAATGGGAAATGCCCAATGTCCTGAAAACTGATTCCCCCATAATGGAATGATGGTCAGATTGCACGTTCCATAATGACGTTTGAAAGACAAATCTCACTTGTAAATAGAAAGATAAGAGAATAGTGGGGAAAGTATTGTGTCTTTTGAGTAATTGGTGTATTAGTTCGTACCAAAAATAATATCCTACTGTTTTCCCACTGTGATTTGGCAGTTTTAACACCTTAGGTTCACCGAAGGTTCTTCTCTATTTCTGTTAATTACCTGAGTTTTCAGTTTTAAGTTTGTTTTGTCTTCTGCGTGTACTGCAGCAGCCAACGCTCAGTGGGATAATAGGACTGTCTGTATGAAGGTGCTTATAAGAGAGCAATGTGGCTCAATGAAGAGCTCTCATTACCTTGATTAAAGTTATGAATAATGGCATTGCACAGCCTTGTGTGTCTTACTTACCTTTCTCATTTTTACTGGAACAGATTCTAGTTCCCACTCCAGCTCGGCTTCAACTAACCTCAGACTCTCAAAGATTTTCTGATGGAAAATGGACATAGTGAGTTGGAAACAGGAAATACCAGAGCCAGTGCGCACCTGTTTATGCCTTTTGTGGTTGCCATGTCTGTGGTGGACTTTAGCAAGGCTGAATGAATTGCTTTTAAATCATACTATAAAAATATTATTACAATATTCTATGCTATTCCATACTACTATTGTAACATGAAATCACAGTAGTCTATAGTATTGCACACTACTACTGTTGTACAATAATATAACGATTTTTAAAAAGACAAACGTTGAATTTAAACACAAAGTTACAGGTACTGTACATCGTAGGCTATTCTGAATACTAAAATATTTTTTGTTTCCGAAAGGAAAATAAACAGAATAAACATTCTGTGCACTGCCTTCTGCTGTTCTGTGCCTGCAAGCCATCACAGCACATTTGTTGATACCGAACAAAATGTAAGTGTATATGAAATACAATATTTAACTACACACAAATTAAAGCTGAGGGTTATAAAACAACATGAAATGCTTCTGGTAAAAAAGTACACATCTGTTGGCAGAATTAGGAGAAACCTGCCAGTCTTGAGTTTTGGCCCTGTGGCTCACAGTTTCAAGGATAGATGCTTAATTACCTCAAAGGGATAATCCTGTTCTCCCATCTTGTCTTTGGCTTTCCTGAAGAAAGGAAGCGTTGTCACCGGTGCAGGACGGTGAATCAGGAGAGCTGCACCAGACTTACTCAGTAAACTGAAGACTTTTTTGAACATCTGCGATGGGCTCTGTTCTCAATTGAGAAGGATTTGATATCACTTAATCTTCCCGTGCCAAAAGGTAAGAAAATACATTTGTACATGGAGACAAAAAAAGACACGGAAATTGGTGGCCCCAGTAGTCCTCAGATGTTTAGTTGAATGCCACAATATAATCACCAGTTTGCAAATCATCTCCAAGTATCAACTTTGTGTAATTTTAACATGAGTCACTTTAAACAAACTAACACAAGCAAGTAACGAACGAATACTCTTGTTGTGGTATCCAGACATACAGTACATTAGCCAAAACAGGAGTTGTGGTGTACAGAATTGTCCTAGATTTGCTACTTAAAAGACATTGGCAAATAAAAACAGAAGTTTCTAAATTTAAATGATTAGAAGAATGTTTGGAACAATGTCATTCTATAAAGTTTTATATACTGTAAATTAGAGCAACATCTAAAGCTTTTTGCCAATTGGAAGTTCCATAGAAAAATCAATAGCAGCAGGATCAATCTGGGAGGTGTAAACTAGGTGGTAGAATACGCAGAATCTCCTAGTGTTCACATGGGTTTTTCCCTAGTGCCCTGGGCTTCCTCCCGTCGTGCAAAAAACAAACTGGCTAAGTTAATGTCTAACATCCTCAGCATGTGATAATGGCTAACTTTTCCTTGTTTGTGTGCATGTGCCCTAAACACACTGGATTTAACTGGCAGCCCAGCCTTGATATAGTCCTGCCTTCTGCCCTGTGTCTACTGCTGACACAATTGGCTGTCGATGATGATATTGGACACAATCTTAAGAAATATGAGACTGAAAGAAGCTGCAGAATATAGCATTATTCAATACCATTCAGAAAACCCGATTAAGTGAAACTGAAGTGGATTTGGTAGGTGCTAAGTAATGAATAATGAGCTTTTTTATTATTGCTGTTGCTATAAATACATACCTCTAAATACGGCAAGGCATTGACAAGCAAAGCCTTGTCAAAACTGCCTTTCTTTAGGTGTTGTAACCCTTCGATGTCACTGTTAATCTCTTTGGGATCAGCAGTCTCTCCCCACAACACTGGATGTAAAAGTACCAAAGTCTTCTCCAGGGCTGGAATCAGGTGTTCCCCATCTTCTCCCATGTAGAGCAATTTATGATGCGGATCCAAATCCAAATATTTCCATATCAGCTTGACTAAGCTCTCTTGATAGTGACTTCCAAACACATGACAGTAAGCAGTGTGCCCTTCACTCCTTACTGAAGTTGACTGAAAGCCACTGCACATTAAACATTCACTCATCTTTTGTCTTAACGTACTGTTTTTTTTTTTGTTATAACGTTTTAAGAAGGCATTTGAGTATGATCTGACAATGAAGGAAAAAAAGAAACGTAAACACTATCCGTGTAACCTGCTGCCCTGGAATCAGCTTTGTGAACATGGTTCCCAAGCAACAAGGTTTCCACACACAAATTCACCACAGGTACAAGTCTCCTCTAGGCGTCACTCAAGTCACATCGTATCTGAAATTATAGTTCTTTTTAAAGCCACTCTTTCTTCAGGATTAGACATTAATACTGCTGTGCTTTGCTAGAAAACTGACGGCTCAATACTGTGGCACATATAAAGAGTGCAGGGGAGGAGGATGAGTAGGACAATAGACAGGAGAAGACAAAGATATAACTACTTGTTAAAAACAAGCTGATATACTTGCACCCTTACCCACTGGACTTTCACCCTGGTCTGGTTCCCATTATCCTGTGTGTAATTTTAATACTGACCTTTGCTGCTACTGTAGCTAGGCAAGCAGCTACTGTACATCTCCCCTCAATTATTAACTGTTGGCAGATGGGTTGAAGTTTTCATTATGTACGGTAGAATGTCATACTTAATATAAAGCATGAGCTGTGTGGGCCTACATATGAATTTGATGAAAATGCATCCCCTTTTAAATTGTATTGAATGCCATCAGTGCCTAGACCACCCACATCCGGCATATGTTTTGTCTCAAATAAAAATAATCCTTAAGGAAAAATCTGTCAGTGTTCATACTGTGGGTTTCTTACTCACTTACTGTACTTCCTTTGTCTGTCCTCTTTTTCACTGTCCATTATGCAATAGCCTTTTTTGTGTTGGATGTTATTAAAAAAACAAGTAATAGTCTGATAAAAGTTTCCAGAAAAAACTTCTCACTAATGACTGGGAGAAAATTTCCAGGACAAATACATTAGTGTGTCTCCTGAACTTATTAGTGTAGTGTTTCACTATGAAACACCAGTGGGGTAGGTCTCCAGTTCTTACCATTCTCTCATTGTGGTTTTAAACACTACAAAAAACTTGAACATACAGTAGAGTGTAATGAAGTATAAAATAAAGCCTATTAGGAAAACATTCAACCAATAAGGAAAGAGCTAATAGAAAAAAATAGAATAAACTAGTTATTGAAGTTAACTTGAGCTTTGTGAGCATCTGATGATCACAAGGCTCCAGATTCACTGAATGGGATTTTAACACTGCCCTTAAATTGAGAGATTTAAAGGTATTAATGTGTGAATTCAGCATTAATCCTTAATTACTATGCATTATGGGCACCGCTAGACTGAAAATGTGTGACACAGGTTCTCTAGTACCAGGAATGGGGATTCCTGTTTGAAAGCAATATAGTAGGAATTAGCTAATGAAAGCAAGGGAAAAAAACATCCCAATGTGCAACATTTAAAAGATGAGGTTCAATTTAATGCAAACATCTACTGTAAAAATGGCCTTTTCCTGTAGCAACATATTTAAAGTCTCAATTTAAGTACGCTGTGATATTTACAACCACAAACGGTATCACTACTGTACGTTTCTAGACAAGTGGTCAAATGATTGGACTGCTCCAGGTAGTGAGAGAAAAACTTTTCCAGAGACTTTACCTCTCTGAAATTCAGGCATTAGGCATCTCAAACAGGACATTGCTAGAGGCCTAATCAAAAAGTTCATCTCCAGTCTGGAACTGAATGCACATGGGCAAAGGAACTAAAAACTTTTAGAACCACTAAATGAGATGAATCTATTAACTTAGAGTAGCAGTACATTTTCACAGGACTCTTTTTGGAGTATTATTTAACAGCTGGTGCACTCTGCTACAACTTTGCATTGTCAACAAACGTGGGCTTCTGATGAGAGTACTGATGATGTACTGAAAAATTAAGGAAACTACAGTATGTGGAAATTAATTTAGGAGCCACATCTTCATCCAAAGAGTTGTAGGAGTATGGAACAACCTTTCTTATTAAGGAATCTACATTCCCTTGACATGGGTACTGTATACTGTAAAAGGATGTTTTTTTTCAATTGAAAAAAAATCTTCCTGTTGCGGTCAAATACTAAATAATGTGATGAGACAAATTTAAGACATAGTATACTTAATATTCTGATATTTGGTGTTAACTGAGAACTATACATCTCCTCCTCACCTGTGAGGAATAAACCACGGAGACAGGAGAAAGGAGGAAGATGGGATGGAGGGAGCAGTGTGAAAAAAGATGTGTACATAGAGGGCTCAGCAGTCAAAATATTTATACATAAGAGAGCGGAAGTGCAAGATTACAATTTGACTTTTTCTCCAGTCTTTTGTTACAGAAGAGTTCTTCCTTTAACATCTCTGATGGAGCATAAACTCACCATATAAAAGTTATTAATCTCATTAATGCTCATTAATCACAAAAAGGTTTTTATATTTTCTTTTGGGGGGGGGACCTTCAAGTCTCTATCATTTCTATCTGATAAGTAAAAGTACAAATATTTACTTATTGACATAGTTACTTAATATAATTATGTATACTATTACTTACAATAGTAACTACTATTGTTACTTATTGACATCTTAAATATCTCACCCTAAAACTACATACACAATTACTAGTTTTCTACAGATGTGATATCTAATGAAGGTAATGTTTCTGATACTGAAGTTAAATGAGAGTATTGTCTTAGACTGCTGTAAGTTTGTGTTCACATGCGATAGTACTTCAAATACAATAAAAGACATAGCGATCACTGACCTCTGTAAACAAAGTTTTACTGATACAGTTCATCAGATACCGAAATGTGAAGCTACCGTCTTACACAAGGAAAAACATAGACATATGTTTCATGGCCAGTAGATGGATTACAATAAATAGTTTGAACTACAACATCTGTACACAGAAACATTTGCCCCATAGCCATAGAAATGTACAATATCAGTGCAACATATATATATATATATTTTATTATTCAGAAATTTATGACAGACATAACACTTTTGAAAATAAAAGTTTTTTTGTTTTATGTTTTTTCTAAATAAACACAAGCAACTACTGGATTTGTAATCTCTGTATTATATACAGGTTCCTAAACAAGAAACTCCAAAAGGCACAATTGTCTATACAACATGTACAAAAAACAAAAAAAAAAATGGCTGGAGCCGACAAGAAAAATAAAAAGAAACAAGGTAAAGATTGGTCATTATTTATGATTGCACGTATAATATGAAATGTCAGAAAATGTGCTTTGAGGAAAGAGGTATTTGCAGAATTGCAAACCTTTTAAGTGTTTTCAGTTTTACAAAGTGACAAGCATTACAAAAAATAAAATGAAGAACTCTCGTGAAGCGATCAGGTCGCTATTACAAGTCTGTCCTCGTCATCGCTAGAGACGTCATTGTACTCCACTGTGATCTGACGTCTTGGGGCCCCTGGGCGTCCTTGAGGCCTTGCTTCACAGGAGCCTCCTGGAGAAGCCTCTTGCTTTGAGACTTCTTCCTCACTGCCCTTTACAAAGTGCTCAATGGCAGAGCCTCTGGTGCTCTGAAGTGGTGCCGTTTCTGGGCCAGCCTTGGGTCGTGACGCCACTTCTTCGTCACACTTTGCGCTCTCTGCAGTGCTTCTGGAGCCCGACGGCAGTTCTGGCCTGTTTGAGGGTGTGATTTCTAAATCCCTTAGCTGAATACTCGTGGATGTTTGTGGGGTTAATGCCCGACCAGCAATGTTGATGTCGACATCCCCAGGAGGGATTATGGATCCTTGAGTAAGCGTAGCATCACAGGGTTTAGAATTGACATTGGAAGTTTCTTCCCCACCTTGGCTTTCAGCTGCAATCGGACTGACCGATGGAATGAGAGTGGGCAATGCTATGTTCAGGATCTGCAGCCCAGGGATGTGTGCTTGTGGGCTCGGGCAGTTCTGGCTTGGTGGGTTGGCGGCCAGCACTTGCAAGCCTAATGCGTTCAGAGTGAGGCTCTGAGGATGCACCTGGGGGGCGATGTTGGAGTTTGCCAGGCCCACAATGTTGAGCGTCTCTAGGCCCAGAGCCGGAAGGGGCTGGAGAGTCTGAGTGCTGAGGGTTTGCAGCCCTGTAACACTGACCTGTCCGATGGGAATGCAAGGCAGCACATTGTTCACTTGTTCGGTCATAGCCAAGGGGTTGCCAGCGCACGGCGCTCCTTCAGGGGATTTCTCTCCATGGGGGCTGGCTGTGCGGTGAATGACGCTCACAGCAGGGATGGTGAGCTGCACTGGCCCGGCCTGGATCGGCACAAAGGTGGAGTAGGCCGCCAGCCCAGCGGGCACCAGCTGGATGCCCCCCACAGGGATCATGCTGTAGGGGGTTCTGGTGGGCTGCTGGGAGTGCAGGGGCAGATGGCTGAACAAGTGTGTTGGTGCTGCTGCAGGATCTATCTGACTCTGAGGGAGGAACTGGGGCTGCAGTGGCGGCGCCGTGTAGACAGACGCAGGCACTAAATTGGTCTGAGTGCTGCGATCAACCGGCAGCCCAGCTTCACTCTGCTGACAGGACTGGCCCCCTGGCAAGTGAACCTGAAAAGAATGATCACAACACAGAGAAAGACATTAGGTTCAACTAGAACAATGCTAAGGGAGGGATTCCTAATAAAAGCAAAAATACCAAATTGCAAAAATGTATGCATAGACTCAAGCTATTCTCTGCATATGAAGAAAAAAAAAGAACAAAACATGTACTTGAAAGCACAGCTTTACTGAAATTCTATTTAAAATGACCTATTTAACAATTATGGAAACTGTAACAACAACCAAAGTACAGTGTTGAAGTTTACCTTCACCTAAAATTCCTTAAATCATTTAAGTATTCAATTAAAGCTGGAAGGCATAGTCTCTTGTTGATGTAAAAGATAAAAACAAATGAATAAGGTTCAGTATGGAACTTTTTCCCACAGTGGGAATCATTGTCCTTCTAACAAACAGGTCTGCAATGGGAAACCTTTTCATAACAGTCATGAAGTGTAGTCCAGTGAAAATGTTTCAGTTGCTGTTTTTTTAAATGGGGGGTTCCTTGAAGGTTAATGTTAATTCAATGGAAAGGGCTGAGCGTCCTTTCGGAATACGGTTTTTCCCACAAAAGCAGATGGAGGACAGCTTCAGACTAGACTGGAACATGCCATGATGAAGGATGCCAAACAAAGCAAAAGCTGCAGATGGAGGAAGAGAAGCTAATGGCTTCTGGTACTTCGGCCAGGCAGACTACGCACTGGTGCAAGAGGAGAAGACATGGCGTGATGTGCCAGAGCACCTGGCTTTAGCACAATCCAAATATTTAACATACAAAATATTATTAACTGCAAGTACATAGCATATGTTCTTAATGTGGTTAATTCTTAAACTTTCAGTTTCATTTTATGATTCTACTTATAAATATTTATATTTCTATAATTGGAGCTCAAATTCATGAATCCTCCCATTATATAATTTTGTTTAGCTTGGTCAAAGAATTAATCATTAAAATTAGGTTAAATTAAGATAAAGAAAATACTAAAAATCACTTACTGCTTTTTTACCCCATCTTTCACAATAACTACAGTACATGTTTGGCCAGTGCTTCCCTTTCAGGAACTTGACCTATTCCACAAATCCATGCTTTACCATAATCTCAGACTAAAACAAAAGGCAGTGTATAAAATGTTTTTAGAGCTAGTGTAGCCTTTCAACATGCTATTTAATTTGCTCCACTCTTTGCCACATAAGGCATAAAAATAAACTTCCAAATACTTTTTTGCTTCAACAATGAGTTTAGTTCTGTTAAACTTGTATTTCTAGTGTTTGACGTTTTTTTTATAATATGCATATAAAGAAGATGCAAAAACCTCTTGTAAGATGTGTCCTTACATTCTATTTTTTTGTTTTTTCTGGAAACCTAAAGAGCCACATACTGTATAAGTAACAACACAACTACCCCTGCGCAGCCTCATTTTTGCTTGAGCTTGTATTAATCGCAAATATAAGGGACTTGATTAAAGTTGAAACTGGCGGATTGCCTGATTTTTTACCTCGGTGTTCATTTCTTTTAAGTGCCAGCAATCTCAAAAGACCCGCATTTGTCACTATGTCAGTTCATGAGTCAAAAACACAACAGAAACAAAACGGCAACCTTTGACGGCTCCGAGACCTTGTTTGAGGCCGAGGGACTGAGAGGATCGTCCTGCTCCGGGTAATCGATTGACATCTGTCGGCAGGGGGACTTGGGGCTCAGCATCGCCACTGCGTCTGACTCTGTCTCTGTGCCAGGGCTCCTGTGTGTGGAGCTGGCCTGTACTTCTTTAGTGGACAGAGGGAAGGCATCTCCTGAGATACTCATTTGTGCCAGCAAGGCGCTTGGGAGGGTCTCCAGAAGAGCGGTGTCCAGCCTGGCCAGGCTCCTCGTCACCCTCTGCTGCTCGTCCGCACTGGCGCTGCTTGGAAACTCGCTGTGGCTACTGCCTGCTGGGTGATGCTGAGGGCTGGCAGTGACTGACGGGGTGGCAGACAGCACCGACTCTGCTTGGCTGTCTTCCTCATCCTCTTCCTCGTTGTCATTATCGTCATCGTCCGCGCCATCCGAGTCCTCCACGTCTGAGCCTGGGCGTTCGTATCCCAGTCTCCCTTTATCTCCTGCGGGGTACAGTGACAACAGGGTCATATCGTGATGTTTTAAATAAGTAATTGGAGTTATATAGCGCTTTTTATCCCAAAAGATCCCAAAGCATTGTGCTTGCTGGAGGAGACCCATTTTATCCACCACTTAAGCATAGCACCATCTGGGTGACACACAGCCATCTTTCTGTATCAACACTCCACTGCACAGCAGATCAGGTGGAGAAGTGAGAATGTGCTAAAAAACACAAGCTGAATTAAAGGGGAGCTCTGAGGAATCCAGACGGTAGAAGAACAGTATGGAATTTACCCAGGACACTAGGACTAACAGCCCTACACTTTTGAACAGTGCTATGTTATCTTTAATGACTAAGTAGTCAGACCTCGGGCTAATGTATTATCTGAAGGACAGCACCTACGACAGCACAGTGTCCCTGGAGAAATCCTACCTCCTACTGGTCCACCAACACCAGTGAAAGATCCTGACCAGGCCCAGCCTTGCTGAGCTTCTGAGATCTGACCAAATCGGGTTATGAGGTGGTAACACCACTAGTAGCCCCTATTAAGTGAGAGTTCATGTGAACTTTTATATTTACACATACACACAGGTATGTGTGCGTTTCTGTATATATATATTTTACCGGTCTAGTGAAATACATCGTCAAACACATCTGGCTATAAAAAACCACCACAGTGTGTCCCTAAAACACAGAACATATAGTCAGTACATGGTTTAGCTCTCTCTAGTGTCCACTGTTTCAATATTAAATTATCAGAAATCCTTACTCTCAACAACAGTCTCAATGTGCTTTGTAATAATAGGCAGACCCTTTACATTTCTAAGTGCTAATATAAAATTCTTCAATTCACCCAAGCCGATCCTCTGAAATGATAGAGATAAAAATGTATTGCTTTATGCACTCACTGTCATTTTTCCTAAATATTAGGAAAAATATTATTACTCTTTATAAGCATGAATTAAAATATTTTCATAAGTCTTAAATCCCAGAGCTTCGACACAAACAATCCTTCACATCAGTAATATCACTGCTGTCCTAGACTACATGCAGTTTTTTGTAATTCATCTGAAATGCTGCTTGGATATTTTGACTGAACTTCTAAAGTAATGCCCTTTTTTGTCATATTGACCAACTCAACTGGACGCAACAGAACCTGTTTTTATTAAAGATTTGTTCCAAAAGTGTGTGATCACATGTGGGAAGGATCATCCATTAGTAAAAGTTCTTATCCATTCACAGTGTTTTAAACTCCAGTCAGACAGAAATACTGTATGTCTGCAGATGAATCTTAATTCACCTACAGTAGGTGGCTTGTTCACAACATATACCTTCTCATATCAGAATTGGTGTGCATCTCCTTGATCCTGTGTTACACATGCACTACAACAGATGGAAGTTAATGAAAAGCATTAATAAGATTTTTTCAGATTTAGAGTACATCATTTAGATTTAAATTTAAATCTACACAAATATCTTACACTGAAGAAAAGAAGCATGTTACCAGGGATATTAGGGCTGCTAATATACATCAACACATCAACTGTGAGTTTGCCAGGCCAGTAAAAAAAGCACTGTCAATGCATCACATACTGTAGGTGACAATTTTGCCAGGGAACCAGAAAACAATGAATGAAATTTCTAATGCCCTTAAAGTAATAAGTAATGACTAGCGGTACATTTCTCACAGCATGAACAGTACAGTTGACCACAGGCAGGAGGAAACAAGCTGTACAAAGTGCTAATAATGAGATACAAGGCATTTGTCAAAGCACTCAGTGCATAGCAGTTTATGCCTGGCAATCTTACTACCTGAGAAAAAAAATCTTTAGTTATTAAGTTTTCACCAGGGCACCACATGGCTGTAAGCTGTACTACAATCCACACAGAACACAATTCCAATAGCTTATTTATTACTTTCTCCTAACAGTTCCACATTCCTTCCCGTGTCCTTAATACTGTAAAGACACTCTTCCCCCTCATGGGTTGAAAAGAGTGATCTGCATACAATACTGCACTTACATGGCCATGGCACACAACATGTTTTCTGCAGACATTATTCTGAAACACTGGGTTCATGCCAATCAGTTTTAGGATTCACCAAATAAATGAAGGGCTACATCAATCTACAGGGGCTAGTCATCTTAAATATAAAATATTTCATATTTTAACAATGCAATTCCAATGTTGCCCTTTGTGCTTCTATGTTAGTGATCCATTCAGGATCATTCATTTCATTCATTCCTTAAGGACACATTTCCACAGAAATTCCATAACTGCTGCAGAAAATAATTCCTGATTTACAGGCAGAGAGTACTCTCAACCAACAGAGAGAAGACACGATATATACTAATTTATTACCCACATTTTCAAACACTTTCTAGAAAGACCAAAATAGGAACCTATTAATGTTCGAAACTGTTTTGCTAAGTCCCCAATTCCTCCTCCTCAAAAAAAGACTCTCAAAATGTCTAGCATTTCAATGACTTTTAATGGCAGTATGTCAATCTTCCAAGGTTGGATGAACTACTTTACTCCTGGTAGCATTCCTTTGCAAAATGTCTCTTAAAGAAAGAAACTAGTTATTAGATAACAAATGATTAGTTGCAGTGTGCTAATGCAAAAAATGTGCAAGTGGTCAAAAGAATATCTAATAAACTTGCTTAATTAGAACTGCTTTCTATTTTTCTGAAAAGATGACATCACCATGCCCACACCTACACTGAGTTTTGGAAGAAAAGCTGCAGTCAAATCTGTACAGAAAAAAAAATATTGATGGTAACTGTTGTTCCCAGTACAGAGAAACGTAAGGAGCAGGAAACTGAGACGTTTTAATAATTTAAAATAGGTAGAACAGTTGTTCCACAGCTTTAATGAACCACATAATAATAGGAAGACATCTGCAACAAATGTAATAAATGTTATATTGCCTCCTAGATCCTGTTTTATTGCTAAAGGGTTTTTTGTGCCTTAATGTAATGCTTGCTGGAATAGGTTCAGTGCGTATAGCGCAGTATTAGTATTCAATCCTGATCTTCATTTTTCTGCAATAAATCTGACGATTTCCATAGCTTTTCTTAAGGGGATGATTCACGTATCTAATCAAAGCCGGCAGTGGGAAAGGGCCCACACGGAGATGCTATCATTAGCACGTTTTGTGTGGCAAGGCGGCACTGGCTGAGTTCAGTCGCAATTGCAGATGCTTCGGAAGCTCACTCTCCAGCTAACTCACAGGAAGCAGAACAGAAGACGACCATCCTAACCCCCCCCCGAACATACACACACAGCAGCACCTGCCCCCCCTTCGCTATTTTTTTTTACAGTGCTGGAGGAATTCTCAAAGGCGATTTGTCATCCTCTCCTGTATGAAAGCAGCGTGGGTGTAATGAGGCCCGTTTTCATCCCTGTCACTCGCCCACAACACTGGCGCATGGCTCTAGGTAACTAATTAGAAGGCAAGCTGATGTAGGGGCTGGAAATGCACAGCAAATAAAGGATCCATCACCCACATTCCCACAGATTTAGCAAGATACTGCTGTCAGCCTGAAAAACAAATACTCCAGAGCGTTTGCAACCAAAGAAAACACAAGCTTCTGTACTTTCTAATATTAGAAGCTGTAATTTCCTATTTTAAATTATGTGCATACCACCCACATGTGATTGGAGTCATAAAGAAACAACATTTAGCACTATATAAACATCCACTACCATTCATCTTGCATTCCAAAAGTATTATAGAGGAAACACCAAGTTGTTCCAACTTTATTATTATTTTCAATTTCACTTTCAAGCTTGAGACACAAGAACAGAAAAAATATCTTGTATGGAAATTATTCAAGGTGGCAAATCCAGAGTTAGGTATCTGCTGCAAAAAATAACCAGGTTCCAAATTTAATTTTGGTTAAATTATTTTAAAAAAATGAGTTTGTGTTCATCTTGAAACAGCAGAGGGGTAATTATGATTTTGATAGCATGGCAACTGTTTGTTAATGTTCAATTTAAGTACAATTCTCAGAAAAATCATTACATATAGATGGAAAAATCCTTATTTGATTGTGCAACATTACTAATAATAAATCATAACCACTTTGAAGATAAAGAGGTAAAAGAAATGAAATAGAGTAAAATATTCTTTTATTCCTGGTACTCTTGGCTTAGTTCACTCCTCTTCAGTAAAGACAGACCCAATCTTGGTTCACAGAGGTTAAAGAGTCGCCTTGTTTTTGAAATAGAGCTTTGGTCTCACAAATGAACGATGATGACTCACACTCCCTGAGGTATTTTATTGCGAATCCTTGTTGATCTACTCGGCAGGGGCTACAAATCTGGCAGAAAAGCATCCATCATCTTTATGGAGTGAAGAGGAATAAAAAATACAGTGCACACTCTTCATCAAACATCAACTTACTTCTGCACTTACACCTCTCATTCCGAGTCATAAAACAGAAGGCACATATTTAAAAGGGTATAGTAAAGTATAAATTATAACTTACATTTTTATGCAGTATAAATATATTTCTAAAAGGCCACACATAAAGGAAATCCCAGTGATCAAACTTTACAGGCATTATAACGTGCTACAGGGAAGACTTACTTCTGTGCAAATGATAATGACTCATACGAAACTTTCTGAGATTTTGACACAATTAACTTTGTACGGAACTGTTAAAGTTCTGTATGGCACTGCACAAGCCAACCGAGTTAATGTATCTGAAGTCATTTCAATGTGACGTGTGAAAAAAAAATTCATCCTCAGAGGTACAAACCTAGTTAACCCAAAGTATAAGGTAAGAATCTGTAGATGTAGGTAATTCCCTTATTTGAATCACAGCAGCCCAATTGGTCACAGCTCATCCTGATTGTTCCTGGCATTCGGTGGATTAGAGAGAGCACTTGACAGCCCCCTGAATGGGATGCCAGTCTGTCAAGAAAAATTATCCCCCAACTAAAGCAGCTGGATGGACTGGAGCAACTGGGGTGAAATATCTCACAAAAAGTACAACAGCAGATCAACAGATGGAACTTGAACCCACAGCCAACCAGTTATGAACTCAGAGACTTGTTCAATATGCCACGGCACACCTGAACATTTTACAAACTGCTGTCATGCAATGAACTCTTGCCTCCATGAAAAAACACAGAAAAAAGATAGAACTGACTAAATATGTTTCAGCATTTCACTGGTAACTTTCATGATCTGTCCATACAATGCTTATTTTAACTTCTTAAAATAACTTCTTATAAAAGTAAAAACTACAAAATATTTTTTCAAACATTCAACCCGGTGGTGTTCAGGAAAATTTATTTATACAGAAATGTGATATCTGGTTCATTACTCTCTTATATCTTGATTTAGAAACTCGAGATCCCATCCTCTTTTTTCCTTTTAGCCTCAGTCCACCATACTCAACCAATCCAGCAGACCCAAAAGCTGAGTTTTTTCTAATATAAGGCAATAACTGTTTGTTCATGAACTTTAAAATGAGGCAGAAATACATTATTATTACAAATTATCTTTCTCCAGCACTTGAATGAAGCAAAGGTGATGTAAATGTCTGATTTAATGTGTGAAGCTGGCACCGAGGGAACAGAGATCAAATCACATGACAGTCACATGTACAGTATGTCCACGATCCTTTTTTTAACATTTTGCTTGTTTATTCATTTTTATACCTGCCCACATTGGAACCTGTAATTATTTCTGTAGCTCTTGGCTACAGCTCATAGAAATGCCACCTGTCCTGCACAGGGAGAATCAGGAAGGGGAGACACACGAGCTCCCATCCACTGAGTTTTTGACATGCCGCCAGACTGGAGAATTCACTCCGACTGGAGGAGCAGCACATCCTTCACGGACACTGCTGCCAGCCTGCGGGCACAGGGGAATCTGCAGAAATCACTAATTGGACAAAAACTGAGAAAGCCCTGCATGAGTAATCTTAAAGTGCTCCTTGGAGATAGATATCCAGCTCCATGGGCTTCTCCTGCTAAAAACTGGCTGGTGATACAATATTTTGAATTCTGATCACCAAGAGAACATAACCCTTATCAATGAATCCGACCAGAAATTACGGGCAATCAGGAATGCAGACAAAGCTTACCTGACTCTTCTGCGTCTTGATCATCTATGAGACCCACAGAAACACCCATTTCCATGCATTTCTTGCTATGGGCTTTGGACTTCATGTGCTTGGTCAGGTTACCTGTGAAGGCAGAAGAAGGTAACAGTTAAATAACACCGCCATGAAAGAGATTTGGGAAATATGAAATGTACAGAATACATTAACAACCCATGCTGTCAAGGCGGAGACACATGGGATCTTTTCAAAACTCTTCACGCTGTGACAGAATCATCTGAGTAGTAAAAGAATGAGCTCTATTGGGCTGATAGTCTTGTCCTTGTTCTTAACATTTCTTATCGCCCACAGGTGAGTGAAAGTAGAGAAACGAAAAATGCTAGTGTTGTGATTAATGACCTTAAAAGTGGATGTAAATAAAGCTCACTTTAAACATGTATAAAAGCTTTAGAAAAAAATCAAAAGAATCATTCAATTAGTGAAAAAAGTTGCGGATTTCCTTTGTAATACTATATTTCAAAGCAGATCTCTTCCTGTTGTTTTACAAAATATTTACACCTATATTTATCAGCAGCACTGAACACAGTGCTAAATATACGCTCCAGCTTATGGTATTGCTTTGTTAGTGTGCTTGGTACTTTTTTACTACTTGAACTGAAAGTTGTAAAGAAAGAGTGGATTAGGATGTGCAATGAATTATCCACCTTGAAGTGTATTGAAATAACCTTTCAGGAGCAACTATAGCACAAAGGCATCAGAAGAAATGTGAAACAGACTGTGAAAGGAACATACTGGCTGAATTGAGATAAATACTAACAAGCTTTTGAGGAATATTTTCCTTAGAATACCATGCAGGTGCTCTGAAAGCTTCACAGGCTTGCAGTCTTCATACAAGGGGCTATAACTGCAAACACCATCATATAAACTGGTTAGCTCTCTTGTGTACTATAGTATACTGCTGCACAACTGTTGTAATCCTCCCCTCCTTGATCCGGAGTGGAAAACTCAGCTCTACAAAGTAAGCACCATGCTATGGAAACACCAGAGGAATTACTTGGCACATTTTATTGCAAATGCATGAACCACAATCAACAATATATAATACAGATGAATGGAACTCAGTAAAAAACCAAAAAAAACAATATATCAATGACTTGCTCAGTAATTACATGACAAAGTAGCAGCCAAGAATCAAAATGGCTAACTATATGAAAAGCCCATCAGGCTAGGAGAGGACAGCATGCAAAATACTTTTATAAACAGACAAACCATTTGAATTTCTGTAGTCTTATGAAACAAGAATTAATGAACTGATAAAAGAAAATTCCAAAACTCACAAGTGCACATACTGTACTGTAGATGGGTTTGTGTTTCATTTTATAACATGCAGAGAGGTGTCTGTTTTCACAGCAACTTATTGTATTTGGATTTTGTGCAGACAAAATAAGAGAAATAAAGTGTATAATACTCCATCTAGTCCTAGAATTACTTTCTAGTACATTTAAATAGATGGCCAGAGGAACAGTGTGGTATTCCTAATGCTGGAATTAAGAAAAGTTCGTCTGTATTGTGTCTACCTATTTTCCTATCCTACCATATCCCAAATATGTTCTGTAGGATTGAGGACAAAGACCTTACCAATCCCTGAAATGTTTTCAGTGCTGTTCTTCAAGAAGACCACATCCAGAATTGTGGCTGAGCTTATCAGGATGCTCACCATAAAACTGCACCTTTTTGTCCAGAGAGGGACATGATTCGCCAGCAAGCAGTGCCTTTCACAGAAAACAGCAGCTTCCATTGACCTGTAAGGCACAGCCAGTGCCATGCTGAACTATAGGAGCAATATCTTGTGGACTGAACCTTTTTCTGGGCTTCTGCCATTCTTGCAGTATCCCATTAGAAACAATAGGACACATCACTCCAAAGCCAGGTGTTCTACATTCCACCGTCAATTTTTCTGGGACAGCTGTAGCCATATCTGTGAATTCACATGGGGTGATCATTGACTTAGGATTGCCTGACCCACCATAAAAGCCTTGGACATACAGTTCTTAAAATCAGTGGACACACCTGCAGGCACAACTGTGCAGTTAATGATTTCACCATGTGAATTGGAAATTGGATTTGTGTTTACCAAGTACTTTACTGTATTGTTAGGTCCATTCTGACATTCTTTTAGGTTCTGCACTGATGTGTCTTACTTTCTTTTTCCACCAAATATTCCCCACATTGGACTCTGAGAACTATAACTACAACTCTGCTATAGTGTCACTTTTAAGACACCTTTAAGACACCTTAACTGCCTTGAATAAATTAGCACCAAACTGTTCTAAACTTTGATAAATGTCCACAATGAGAGGCACTGGCTGTATTAGGCTACAGATTTACATCATTATACCTGTGGACTTCCACACACATCCTCTGGATAAACACTGTCTTGTGCTACAATCCAATACTGCCAAAAGAACAATTTAATCTAAACTCTACACATACTGTAACACCTTACAGATATGTTAGATAAGATCCTGAAAAGTATGTCCATATCCAGCAGTGGCTTGAGCTGCACACATCATTCCACTAAATGCTGACAGATGTTCTTGCAGCTGTGGGACTTCATAGCCAACAACAATTAACATAGCTCTGCATGAAATACAGGGACCATTAATGGATAGTGATTCAGAAGCTGCATGTTGCCTGAAATACTGTACAGCTGATGATTTTTTAATCTGTCAACGGCAGATAAAACCTTTGTGGCTTGACATATTAGCCTGGTCTGCTGCTGCCTTCCATGGTGCACCAGAGGTACAGTATGTGCATCAAAAATCTTATCACTTACAGCAGCCTTCTTTCTCATTAGCATAGCACACTATGGAAAAGGTGTGATTTGATGCTGCATTACAGTCCTCAGGACTCCTGAGACATAGGAATGCTTTCAGTTGAATATAGGACATATAGTTCTGTATAGTATTCAGTGCAGCATATATTGTATATGTGTGCCAAACCACAGAACATATTAACATTTCTTATAACTGTTAAGTCTTAGTAGCACAGCAGCTTATTTTGTAACTAAGAACGTTTTGAAGGCATGTAGGCAGTATTGATTTGCTGTTCCATTTCCCAGAGTATGTGGGCAGTGAGGTGATCCTTCATTGAGTCACACTGACCTTTTAAGAAATTGAGAAGCATAGGTTTATATTTTCAATCCTCTAGAAAACCATTTCAAATAATATGATTTAAGAAAAGGACTATGTGGCTCATTTTTTTTGATCATATTACAGTCCTTAAACAAATATTCCACTCGTTAATATGCCTTGCTTTCCTTTTTCAGAAACCCGTAAACGTGGTGTTTTTACCAGGCTTGTAGGGGCTTAAACTGAATTTCCACTTTTGCACTATAAATATCATGAAAGTCCATAAGGTAATATTTTAAGCACATCTTTTATATTACTTTGATATTTTTAACCTCTTTAACCAATTTATAGACATTTATATAACAAGGAGCATTAAAAGAAAAGTGAACAAGTACCAAGATGTAACTGTACTCAAACTCAAATAAAAATTAAGTTAAAATCTTCTAATTTCTTCTAATAGTTAAAAAAGTCTAATTCTCATTAGTGGAAATAAAACATGACTGTAAACTACATTATTATACTTATTACTTTAGTACTTTGTATTATACTCATTACATTAAGTACACTTTTATTTCTGTACAATTTCTATAATGATATGTAGAGTACATCTATTATATACCTACAGTAACTGTAACTTAACCTTATCAAGCAAGAATCAAAATGTGCTATATCACAGTGGCAAAGGGGTACGTTTTATACAGATTAGGTAAATGTCCCTATGTCCCTAGACAGTGCAAGTGAGGAGGACATATTCACAGTGAATGAGAGAATCCTGAGGCCAGGGCTAAGAGGTGTAAAAAGACTTTGATAAAGAATTCTTGCTGTGCTCTAAAACATGCAAAACACTGTTTTATATCACATTTTTAGAATGACACATAGCAGACTGATAAAGTTCTACTTAAAAAAGGTGAATATGACACAAAATTAGTTCAATAAGAACTAATGATTTTATATATTATTAGCTTTAAACCCAGCTCTAATTATTTAATAAGTTCTCGTTCTTTTATTTGGCAAAAAATACTCCTTAGTTTCTGCTGTTTATTGCTAAATAATTTATTACTTGTATGGTTATGTAGAATGAAGAACACTATTAATAATGTTTATAAAGTTATAGAAAGTTAAAGTTCTGCTGTATAAAAAATGCCACTATGGAAGGAAGATCAGTTCTTTTTAAATAATTTATATTTAATTGAATATTTTTCTGCCTTCCTTCCATATAAACCCTATTAATACAGAAAACATACCCTATACAGTATATATCTAGTGTTTAGCATATATTTTTATTTTAAAAGATTTTGGAAAAGTGTGCATACACATGAGATTCTTGTTAATTTTTTTCCATGCTTTCAGTGCCTCACCTTTAGTTTTGAAGGAAAAGTTACAGTAGGTGCAGTGGTAGGGGCGGACATCTGTGTGGGTTCGAATGTGCTTCCTCAACATGCTGGGCTTCTTACATCGGATCCCACACTCTTCACAGATGTACTTCCCTCTGCCTCTGCCCCGCACGTACACATAATCCTCATTTGACTTGTACCTGGGAATGAAACGTCAAGAGCAGAGTCAGATTTCCATTAAAGACTGGATGACCCAGGAATGAATCAGTTACATGACAGCCCTAAACGTCAACTCAAAATGGTCAAATATCTTATTTTTTAAATATTTTGAATTTTTCATATACTGTACTTTAAGGTGCATAATGTGTGTATCTCTCTCACCAGACCTCGAATGTAAAAAAAAAACACTTGATGCAGAAATGTCTTTACCAAGAAAGATACTTAATATTTGCTCAGAAGTGTCTGAAATTATTGGGACCTATAATGTTTAGTGCTCCACTTTCCTTTCAGGCCTTGTATTGATTACATAGACTGTTTTGTCTTTAGTATAAGTTGTATTGAATCTGTGGCTGCTCAGACGGCAAGGGCATCTAGCTCCTGACTGGAAGGTCCTGGGTTCAATCCCAGGTAGGGGCAAGTGATGTAGCTTGCTCTAAATCCTTCCAGAGGGCTCCCAGGTCCACTCAGCCTACTTTCCAAATGAGTACCAGGGGTTAATCCTTCTGGGGGTAATAGGCCAGTCAGAGCATGATGCTGACCATATCACCTCCACCTCCAGTGTCAGATGGTTGAGAAAAATGGGGGCCCTCACCCCCCTTTCCCCCATGGGCATTTATGGCCTGAAAAGGGGAGCTAACCTACAGTACCTACCTACATAAGCTGTATTAATGGCACTGAAATCCTCAGATTAGAAGAAATGATACAAAATATTTCATAAAGAAAAATGTTTCTTTTTTAACAAACAGTATTTCTACACCATGAAAGCAAGACAAAACATTAAAATGTATTTCAGAATGTGGAAAACAAATCTGTATATATATACTGATGGTAAAAAGAAACACATCATTTTCTGGAATGAGAATAGTATAGAAGGTTTCAGCAGACTGGCAGGACAGATGACCGTCCAAGATCTGGTCGCCCTTGAGTGACCACACCAGAGCAGGACCGAAACATCAGACTGGTCCATCTGAGAGACCATTTCAGATCTGCCACATGTACTGCTGCTGAAACTGCAGGCAGACACAATGCCCAAATCAGTGACAGGACACTGTGCTGCTGGCCTGAGAGCAAGGTGACCTGCCAGAGGCCCTCTGCTCACACCTCCTAGACATCACACCCGACTGGCTTGGGCCAGACAGAGGCTGCGATGGACTCGTCAGCAGAGGCATCAGGTCCTCTTCACGGTCGAGTCACTCTTCAGCCTGTTCCACGCAGACGGGAGGGCCAGAGTGTGGAGGAGGAGGTGTTGTGTTTTTTTCCCATCAGTATATATAGAAAACATATACAAATTGATTTGACTAGATTTTAAACATTTTTAAGGTTTAATATGCACTGTTTACATGTTATACCCACATAAAGCATGATATTTACTGTTGACTGATTAAACATTTTTGGTTTAATAAAGTAATGCCAATCTTACTTTTAATGTTGACAATACATGCTATGATAAAAGGCTTATGGCATGAAGTCGATTAAAAATTTACCACAAGAAACAAATCTAACCATTTCTATATTTCAGTAGTAAGTAACTATGCACTTGCTTTCTGTTTTTTTTCTCACATTTTGGCTTGTATTTGTAGTAGTACGTACCCTCCATCAAAGATTTTGACTCGTCTTGGCTCACTTTTAGTTGAAGACTCCTTGTCTGACTCGCTGGTCTGTTGGTTTTCTGCTTTGCCTTTATTGTTTTTTTCCTTTGGCAAAGACGTCTGAGGGGCTAAAACCTTTTTAGGTTAAAAAAGTTAAGAATCGTAGATAGTCTTAGAAAGGTATTTATTATCCAAACTTCTATGCATTTTTCATTTTCTGTACTGAACTGACAGAGTTGTGGTAATGTTTATAATAAAAAACGTGTTCCTCTAACAATATTTAAAATGGTTAAAAATGAATAAAACTGAATGAGGCATATATGTTAGCAGTCATAAATTACAGACTAAAATAAAGTACACACATCAGTAATTCATTTGCTATGGTTACTTGTGGGATTTTGTGCTAATTTAAATGGCAGATTATAATATATAATAAAAAAGTACATTTTAATCTGCAAAAAATACCACAGGCAACCATTTCAAATTAATTAATACATATGCTTGCATTAAATTATTTCCTAAAATGTCATTAAAACTTTCTTAAAGTTTTAATATTTAATAATTGTATTAACTCGATGATTAAATAATATATAACCAAACTAATATTCAGCAATACTCAATTATAATTAAATAATAATTACATTCAATCAAATGTAATGCAGATAATTGTATTACTTAGCAAATTACCTTGGGTAAGCTGTTCTTCAACTTGCTGGAGTACGCCAAGATGTCAGATTTGGAGCTTGTGGTTATTGCTTGAGTGTAGTGTGTTTTCTTTGCTTTCTGTTTGGAATTGAAAAGCGACAGAGCCACTTTTGTCGGCAGTCCAAGTGGATTTGGGTTGTTTGTACTAATGGACCAGGTGGCATAGGCCGAAATACGCTGGTCAGCCTGAAGGACATGCAGAGGCTTTCTTTTCATTAGGAAACACCAGGTGAAACTCGTTGTGGTCTTCAGGCTGGGAAATGACAAACGATGGCTATCCCTCGCGTTAACAACTGAAACCGATGAGGCGAGTTTAACCTGACCCTGGAAACTCTGTGACCTCAACTGGGTTTTTGCAGAAGATCTTTCCTCAGTCTTGCCTTGAGATTTCAGTGCAGAATGGGCAGTTTGAGGTGAGACGGGTGGCCCTGGGGACATTCGTATCACAGAATTTGACACAGGATAGACTGCTGGCGTTTCTTTTTCTGAGACTTCTCCTATAGCCTCTGTTGCTCTGGGTATACAGGTTTTGGATGCTTGGCTGTTAACAACCTTTTCAATCTCAGGCTTTTCCAGATGCTGCTGGGAGTTTTCTGAGTCTAATGGACTATCAGCTGGTTCGGTGGTACACACCTGTCTAACCAGCATGAGCTTCCTTTGTCTCGTCACCTCTCCCATCCTTGTGTTTAAGAAGTTCAGTGATCTGCCATCAGTTGAGCATGCAGATCCGTGTTCATCTTTTGCTCGTTTCTGGTGCTTCTCCATGGCAATGTCTAAGCTGTTGGCAGGTGAAAGCATGCGTTTGCTCGAAGCAGTAGGCTCCTGTTGAGGATAAAGGCCCACAGGTTGTATTTTCTGAACACAGTTTGTGGCACCTAATGTAGACATGTTTCTGCTCTCACCAATGGGGTTCTGATTCTCAATTACTTGAATATATTTTACCTGGGGATTAACAGAAGCTTGTGGCTTGTCTTGTTGAACATGTGGCAAACTTCTAATATCCGTGTCTGTGATTTGCACTGGAGCAGTGCTTACTTTGCAAGCAGTTGCACATGAAGAATTGACCTGATCTTGGGTTACTAATATCTGAGGCAAAGAGGTGATGTTTGCTAGGCTGAATGATGACGAATTGTTCTGAAGGGTCCCAGGCAAAACAATGGATGCTACTGGCTGTATCGGTCCAGGCGAGGGGGTTGCAATAATTTGCTGCACTTGTGGGACCATATAGAGATTCTGGATTGCATCTGAAGGCTTGGAAACAGTAATAACTTCATTTGAAACAGGAAGCGAGATTACAGGTACACTACTTGATGCACTTGGGAGCAAATATGACTGGCTTGTTTTCAAAGGGGAAACTTGCAGTTGATATTTGGGTACATAGTTTTTCTTTTCTTGCAAATCAAGTGTAACAGCAGAATTATTTTGGATTTCTCCTTGGCCAGCTAATATTTGCCCTGAAGAACGCTGAACTCTTTGACCACTCAGGCCTGTGGAGATATGTTGCCATGGATGTGGAAGCCCATAAACGGGAGGATGCTGAGTGCTTGTTTGACTGCCCAAATTAACACTCTGGACTAAATTTTCACTCTTATTTTGAAAAATGTCACCATGACTGGCTGAGTGCAACATCATAGGTTGCATGGAAGATCTACTAGCAGCCTGAAGCTTGTGTTGTTGAACTGGAGCCATATTGACAGAAGAACCATGTTGGAAAGACATGGGAAGATTTCCTCGTTGCTGCTGGGTTTCAGGACCAATTTTTAAAGACATCTGCCGAACTAATGGTCCCCTTCTTCTTTCAATGAGAGGCACCTGAACTCCTGTAACTGCAGGAGTCTTGGGTAAAACTGTCTCCATAGGTGACAGAGATCTAGTAGGTGATATGCTACCACAGTCAAAGGATTTGCTGCGGTACTCTGAAGTAACCTCCACTGATGGTTGAGTGCAACTGATTTGCTCAGATGCAGCTCGTCTCATTTCCCTAGAGTGTGAACCAGGGACTCCCAGAGTATTGCAGCCCACTGGTGGTCCTTGATATTCAGGGGGCTTTCCAATACCTTCTGTCTTCAGTGGGCTCTCTGGCTTTGTCACCTCTTCCCGGTCAAAAGAGGCCGATATGCTAGAACAACGTGACAAACTGCTGTCCCGGCTTAGGCTCCTCGATAAGGTAGATTCAAAACTGGATTCCCCAGAGGAATGCTCTATTTCAGCTAATCGGATTCTTTTCTTCTTAGGTGGGAGCTTTTCCGTTGGTAATTTAGAAAGACTTTCACTGCGTTGGGGCCAGTTAAAAGTTTCTACAGGCTTTTCTTGTTCATTGACCTGGCTTTCCTGCTCCCTGTCGGGCTCCTCTGTTACCAAGATTTCGGGAACTTGAATGTTGTTTTGCCGAACGAGTCTTGATTGCTGTACAGGAACGACATTCTCACAAGGAACTGATATGCGATCATCATGCTGGTCAGCCCTTGGCTTTTCTGGAGTAACAGGTTGTTTCTGTATAGGGGCCAACTCAGAATGTCCATCTTTGCTAGTAGTAACCCTAGATATAGGCATTGGTTTAGTTTTACTCTGGATTTCTTTTTCCTGTAAATTCACAGGCGAACCTCTTTCAAAAGATTCTGATTTGTCAAATGAACTGGGCCTGCTCAATGAGTTAGTGTGTTGAATTACTGAAATGCCACTGCCCTGTCTCTTTATGTCTCCTCTTTCTTTACCGGTAACACTTATCTGAGCTTCTCTGATAGGAGACAGTCTTGAATCTACTGTTTCTGTCCCTCTTGCCACAAGCTGCACTTGAGAGGTTTGTGCTTTGCTACTAGTAGGTTTAGGATCTACCATTACAGAGGCATGCGAGGAGAAAACTCTACCCTGAACATCTTTAAGCATTTGGCTTGAGACAGAATCAAAACTTCCAGAGCTAGGAGCTGTGGTTTCCGTTGGGGATTGCTCATCATCATCACCAACACTTTTCATTTTTCTTCTTTTTCTTATTAAAGGTGGCTGCTCCAGCACACCTGAGGCACCTGTAACTATGTAGTGAAAGACATGGGGCTGTGTGTTGCGTGGAACGGTATCCTGATCTGTCTCGCGGGTTGATACAGTCTTGCTTTTTGGTCCGTGCAACTCAGAGCAGTAGAATTTTTTATGATTTTCAAAGTTCTCCAGTTTTCTATACCGGTTTCGACATGTTTCACACTCATACATTGTCCCTCGGCTCTGTTGAGACTTTTTAGTTTTCTCTGGACCAGGCCCATGTTCAAATGACTTACTTCTTGGCATAATTTCTGCTGCCAAGGTGGATCCATGGTAACTTTCATCTACAGACCTTGTTGAAGCAAGGCTATGGCCTTCACTAGTTGAAGAGTCTTCAATTGCTGTCTGTCTTACTAGCGTTCGAGGGTGAACAGCTGGATTTGGGGTGGGAGGGCCAGAGAGGAATACATCATCATTAAATGATCCAATTTTCTCATCAAATGACTGACATCGAGGTGGATGGGTTCCAGGTGCTACGTTAGGGGGAAGAGCTGAGTATCCAGGTGTTGCGGGCATGGAATTGCTTCTGGTTATTGGTAAACAGTCCATGGATGGATATTGAGGAGGGACTGATAAAAGGAATACTTGTTTAGATTTATCTGTAGGGGTAAAAGGAGATTTTGGTATGTCAGAGCTTGAGCTTGTCCTTCTGCTCATTGGTTTAAGGTCAAACTGAAAAGAGTCTTTAAATATGTACGATTTTGGAGAATCTATACTTCCTCTTCTTGAGAGAGAGGTCCGTCTTGGTTTGACACTATCTAACTGTTTATCATCTACCAGTGCTTCATTGTCTGATATTAACTTAGAAATGCGCTCTTCAAGAGATTTTGTCTCTAGAGGTGGGCGCATCTGGCCTGGTACAGCTGACAATTTCTCTGCGTAGTTTGCTGACATTACTACAGAAGGTATTCCAGTCAAAGGGCTCTTATTGACATCCATCTCCACAGCTGAAATGATCTTAACAAAGGGGCTAGGAGGACTCATTGTTTGATCTGCACTTTCTGACCGTGAAAAGTAACCAGAATCTGTGCTCCCTAAACTCCGTGGGCTTAACAGGCATTTGCCTTGCTGCTGCTGAGAGAAGTCTGTTGCTTGCTGTCTTTGCAACTGGGCATGCCCTCCTCCTGGGGGTGACTTAGGGGGCTGGTCCTCATCGTCACTTACAGATTCCTGCTGAAGGCTATTTCCATCAACTTCCTTTAAAGAAGACAATACCATTACATTTGACCTTATACTTGCAGTCTGAAAATCTCTTTGCCTCTGTGCTGTAGAAAGCTCCGGGGCAGAATCCATTACTCGAGGACTGTCAGCCCGCAAAGGGGAAACATTCACCGGGTAAACAACTACTTTTGGTAAAGCAGCTGTTACTTTGGGTTCCGATGAGTTTTGATTGGTTCCTGATTTTGCAATCTCATAAGCAGCTAGAGGCTCATCCAAAAGGTTACCTTGTGTGGAGCTAGAATTCTGCATACTGCTCTCAGAGAGGGCTGTAAGACTGCTTTGTGAGGATTCTGGGTCCAAATTCCTTTCATCAGCTGTGCTTTCATCGTCGCTTTCTCCACTTTCCTCCACGTCAGAATGTGTACCAAGTGCTTTGTCAGACTCTTGTGACAGTATCCCACTACTGGAATCCGGCCGTATGACCAGGCCCAGCTTTATAGCATGCGCATGGGACTTTTTGTGCTTATATAAATTGCTTTTTGTCTTAAAGGAAAACCCACATGTGACACAAGGGTAGGGTCGTTCTCCTGTGTGAGATCGTATGTGCTTCAGCAGGACACTAGGTTTGGCACAAGCCCGATTACAGTATTCACAAACATATTTTCCTTGTTTTTTGGGTTTCTGGTCCTTTACAGAGATATTGCACATTGTTTCCACTGCAGGGTTTATAATAGTGGCCATTTGGACTTGATTACTGGGCACACTAGCAGAGGCAGACTGGCACGTGTGGACCACTGGCTGACTCTGTGAAAGAGCCTGAGGACCTGATGGAACAGGCGCATGATTCACTGAAGGCATTGGTGCTACATTATAAGACTGTTGAAAGCCATGCTTTTCTTGGCTTTTCTGATGGTGGGTAGCTGACTGCGTGAAATCCTGCACAGTTTTCTGAGGATTCTGTTGCCCACCCGTTGAAAGAACTGGAGTGTGCTGATAATGCAGCTGAGACACTGTCTGATTAAGTGCTTGCCCACTTTTTAGAGCTGGTGGTATTTGCACAGTCTGTGGAATACTGGAATACAAGTGTTGTCCCGAAAGAAGTTCAGATTGTGACAGTGAAGGCAGCTGTTGGACCCTCATATTCACACTGGACATTCCAGTGGTCTGTCCAGTGGATTGGACCTGGATTGGTCCAGGATTGCCAGCTGGAGCAATGGAAAGGGAGCTTTTCTTCTGTGTCAATGAGCTGAGGTCTGGCTCCATGGCTTTTAACAAAACTTCAAGCGAAGCACTGGCATGTGAAGGAGAGGCACTGTTTGAAATGCCAGGTGGGCTGCCACTGGACTTACAGCTCCAAGTTTCACTTAACATGGAAGCAGTGGGAGGCTGTCTGGTTGTGACTTCTTGCAGCAAGGAGGGTTTATCTTTTACTCGCCATTGTGATTTGCCCCCCTGCTGCTGCTCTTCAGCTTCCTGCCCCTGGCAGGGGTCAAATGGCTGCTGCTGACCCACAGATGCCTCAGTCTGCATTAGTCCCTCACCATCGTCCAATTTCAAAGCTGCTTCACTGCTCACTGCTTTGCTCTGGGGGGGTTTCTGCATGTGTTTGTCATCTTCCAGGTTTCCATTCTTCACAGGAGAAGTGCTTAAATTATTTAAAGAGCTGGGGAAAGCAGACGAAGGTGTGCCTGCCTTTGCTGTGGATGCAGAGATTTTTGTCTGTGAAGGTTTCTTCACCGGCGATTTGGGAATTTTCTTCAGATGGTTTTCAGTCACCACCTTCTTTCGTTTTAAACCTTTAACAGCATCTGTACCTCTTCTGCCATTTTCATTGGTACCTGCAAAACAGAGGGAAACAACTGAAACTCCCCTCATTACTGCAGAGTCAGCTCCACATTAGTGCAGTCACCTCCACATTATTTCAGTCTTATTTTTAGCCCTTAAGTGAAGACATTTTATTTTAAATAAAATAATAAAATAAGGCACTGCACGCCTAATATACTGTAAGTCCTTTGATATACTGAGTTTTATGTTTGAGATAAAACAGTAACAGATTTTTTAAAACTTAAAACAGAAATAAAAAAAATTAAAAACTAGTTTAACATTGAGTCACATTATTAGATTTTGAAGAGACTAATTTAATGCAATATTTTTCACCTATCAAATTTTATTTGTGTTATAAATTTGCAGATTGCAGCCCCCCTGTATGTTGTGAGCACTCATCCATTTCAGTGATAGTGGTTACACAGCAAGTAAACATTTTAAATTAAACCAATGCATTGTAAGAGTTTGTAAAATACAGTATTAAAATTACTGTTGTGTCAATAAAGAATTATACTGCTAAAGTGGAGTTTTTCTATTAAATACTTCTATTAAATATTTCTGAATTTTTTCATTTTATTATTTACTCATTGCTTCATCAGTAATAACCCTGCCTCAATAATTTAATATTGTTATATCATTTTATAATCACTTAATAATTTCAAATTAAAAAAACATAGTATCTTAAAATGAAGAGGTTAATAACTTCTACATAAAGAAGCACCACATGCCTTCCAAAGTGGGTAATGTGAGATTACAGTATTTACCTAAAAATCGAAAAGCCCAGTCTTAGCTTTTGAAACAAACAGAATCTTTGTTTAGTGCAAATTTCATTACAACTGATGTCTGCACCCTCTTTGAAATGCCAGTGTTTTCAAAAAGGAGGTGGGGTTGCAGTCTGTAGTGTAGTGGTAGTTTCGTATCGTTTAGAAAACCTATGCCATTCTACCCCAGTAAAAACTGAATCTCTCTCAGCATGTATGACTTGATACCGTCTGCACCACCCACACACTCCCCAAAAACATTTCTATCCATCTAAATGAACTGAGCTATCATGCTCAGCGAGCTAAATCTTCACATGAGTTGGCTAGAAAACACCTCTGAAGCTTAAAAATAATAAAACCATGTCTAAACTAATTCATCATTATGCTACCTACTTCTAGTTTACACATTTGGCTTTGCTGCATAAAAGTAACAAAAAAAGAAAAACTCACGAAGGCAGAATGTTTTTCCAGTGTCAAATGTCTGTATCTTATTTTGCTTTTCTCAATGGCACGTTTCTATCCACAGACCTTAGAGGTCTCACTTGAAATGGCAGTAACTATTTAGGTGATTAAACCAAATATTTTCCCTTTTCAGAAGCGAAGAAGTGACAGTTGGACTTCAAGCTTTTACTGTCAGACTACAAACTGCAGTTCTTATTCTGGCTTAAATCACAAAGAATCAGAGAACTCATTACAGAGCTGCAGTTTCACAATTAATGGTTTATATTGTAGCTTTAGTATTGTTTTCCAGGAGTTCAATTAGTTTTTGGTTTAGAAAGTAGAGTCCTAAACAACTTTTCTTTTGTGCTACATTGGAATCTATAGTATAGATAGTACGGCGCGTTATAATGCATCAATAATGCACATGCATGATGTTGTAAGGAGAAAAAATTAATTTAATTTAAAATTAACAAAATTGTGAGACACAAAATCGATCGTAATGCGTGATATACAATCTATCTCTGCGTAGGGAATGTGCTACCCAAAAATGACTACTAAAGCCTAACCATGTACCAGTCTTAAAAATTGTCAGGTCATCCTAAAGAAACAAATTACACAGCTCACAAAATTGCAGGGCAATGCATATGTTCATAAGCACATTTAAATTAAAGACCCTGCTTACATTTTTTATCTCACACACTTATTTTTTTGGGCGTATCATACTGCAGATTGTATTATATTAATGCACTATGATATTCCATGTAGAAAAAACATCTTCAGAACAGAGTGATGGAAAGTATTACATGGGGAATATCACTATCACACGATGAAGGACCCAGGAATTCATCAATGCATTTCTCAACTGGTGCATCAGTTACCTGCTTATCATTCAGCTTTCTATTCTTGACATCCGACTTAACTTGTGTCAATATTATGGTATAATTAGGTAGTATGGAACAATGTTCCAAATAACAAATACGAATGTAGAAAGAAAACAACATGCAGATCCATTTACTAGACACCAAATACCAAATCACTATAAAATGAAGCAACTGGACAGTATGAAATGGTCACTTTCCATCATACTGCTGTCACAGTTGCAAGAGATCCCTTTGAACCTCATCTGGATTCAAAGCAAAAAGACAGGTTGCTACAGAACTGCCAATAAATATTAACGCGCATCAAAAAAAATAGAGAACTGTCACTGTTGTATTCTGAAAGGTTCCTCACCTTTAAAATATCACACGTACTGTCAGTGATACGATCTCAATTCTCAATATTCTCTGTCAATAAATTACACTGTATATGTTTTTCTGCCTTATTTATTTCCACTTTTGCTTACACACAATTCTTGAATGCTTTAAGCAGAAAAAGAAAGGAAAATAAAGCAACTCATTTAATTTATTTCATTTACATAATCTTTATTTGAAAGAATATTTCTCTAAATATCATAGTAAAGAAGATGCATGTGAATTAGGTATTTTATGTGGGGCATAAAAAAGCAAATACTACAACCACATTTTTGGTACTAAACTACAAAAATGCTCTAGAATTACTGTAGCTTCTCTTTTCATATCATAAGATATTATGGTATTTATGAAAAAAACATATCCCTTTTGAGTGATCACTGCTTTGATAAAAGCATTTGCTAAAGTAGTACCACTGTAAAAAAGACTACGGAATAGGGGTGAAAAAAACTTAAGTTTAAAAAACTGAATCAGAACTGTGATTTTCTTTCACTATCACAAAATAGTGTTCAACTTGTCTTCAATCTGAGTGGGCTGCAGACAAATTCTCTGAGAGTGACCGGTCAGGCTAACTCCCTGCGTGCACTGCACACCACAGTATGAACCAGTGATCTTTCCACTGACACTGGAGACTGGCCAGCCACAGTGCTCTGCTCTGCAGAAACCCACATCCGGGCAAATCAAGTCCACCATGGGGGTCATGGTCAGTGAGCAGCAAAACCTGAGCTGGAACCCAAACCATCACATTGCAGTATTTCATGCTACAGAAGGGGCTCTTTCAGCAGTTCATTCACTTGTTAAAACATGCAGCATACACTGTCTTATCAGTTACACTGCAATCAAAACCGATCGTTTTTTCATAGGTTACCACTGTTAGTTTGGATCTGAAAATAACTGTGTTAAGAAATGTATATAGAGAATGATGTAAATGTGCCAACCTGTACATTTACAGGTTAGTTGAGGAGCACAGATGTATTTTGTTGTTAATTTACAAAGAGGTATGTGGTTTAATATTTTAATCACTTTAAATTAAACATAAATGGATTAAAAAACTATACCTGCTAATTCAGTAAGATCAAAGTCAGGGACATGCCTGACAAAAAGACATATAGAACAGTTTTTGGCCACCAAATGAAACACAATACAATAATCAATTTTTATATTAATAATAAGAATTGATTTGCTGTTATGCATGCAGTTTTTATGGATGAAAAATTACATATCCACAATTTTCTTCACATAATAATATCAATTATTAAAATACTCAGATACTGTATACTACCATCCTATCAGCACAATGTTTACAATATTGATATCAATATATTAATAATGCTTATCCGTAGCATTTGGTGCATTTAATTGATGTGCCACAAATACCTAAAGATTAAAATAATAAAAAACCTATAACTTCAATAAAAACATCTGCTCCTGTTCATGACAAATCAAACATATTTTGGTTTTGTTGCTATTTACCATCAAGTGGAGTTTGCTGATCTTTGCAAAAAGTAAGATTTTGTTACATAACATGCACTATCTGGAAAATATATATTTTTTAAATAATGAATTCCATCATGCACTCTATACAACATTACTGATGTTTGATTATTATCAATCATTTCAACAGCTCATCTTCCCTTTCACACCTGTGACCTGCAAGTAAACTGCCCAAAATACATTTAATAAACAATAGTCTCATTCTTACTCAACCAAATCTTGTTCTTACTCATCCTCACAAACAGGTCCGAGAGATTAAAAACACGAGCACCAGTTTTTTTTAGTGTAAACACGTATAGCAAATTGCATATCGAACAACCTGACAACAAACAAAAAAATAATAAACACAATCTTGCCTTTATTGATACTAAATCTACTCTAACGGTATATTCCCCTAATCAGGCATGTCTACCCATTCATCAGCACTGTAACAGCAAAAGCACGCAAACATTACCTTTGCATTCTGTCCTTCCCAAACCATCCACAAATGCAGTTGCTCGGCTAAAATGACTATATGGTTTTCGTTCTAGAAAATCTCCTGCGCTGCCTGACTCTGAACCTACTGAAGCCCACACATTATTACAACACCCACATTCTCTCTCCTGCTCTCGGTCTCTCTCTCTCTCTCGTTTTTTTTTAATAAAGACGTGGGCTTGCACACACGCACAAAATTAATGATGAAAAGCAAAGGCTCGTTGTTCACTTGGCGAACAGGGTGATGTTCTGCAGTGGGGGGTATACTGCTCGCCCCTAGTAAATAAACAAATGACCCATTTCAAAGAGAGTTTTTCTGCTTAAGTACTTTAAAATTAAGCAGACTATGGTACGTGATGGGGGTTCCCATTCTATTCCTAAATGGTTTGACCATCATATAAGCACTCCTAGTGTTCTTGAAAGGTGTCTCAAAGATGATTCTGTTTGGCTAAATTTGGTTGCAGGCTTCCCCTCTCACTAAGGTTAGGGTTAGGGTTAGCCTTAACCTTAACCTCTCATTAAGGTTTACTTTTGTGAAAGCACCAAGTACCATGAAAATTTTGATATCAGAAAACCTGTGTGTGAAAACGAACATAT